ACGATGGAGCATATGTGGATAAAGGAGCGCTCAGTGAAGTGTGCAGTGAGGGGTGCACGATGGAGCATATGTGGATAAAGGAGCGCTCAGTGAAGTGTGCAGTGAGGGGTGCACGATGGAGCATATGTGGATAAAGGAGCGCTCAGTGAAGTGTGCAGTGAGGGGTGCACGATGGAGCATATGTGGATAAAGGAGCGCTCAGTGAAGTGTGCAGTGAGGGGTGCACGATGGAGCATATGTGGATAAAGGAGCGCTCAGTGAAGTGTGCAGTGAGGGGTGCACGATGGAGCATATGTGGATAAAGGAGCGCTCAGTGAAGTGTGCAGTGAGGGGTGCACGATGGAGCATATGTGGATAAAGGAGCGCTCAGTGAAGTGTGCAGTGAGGGGTGCACGATGGAGCATATGTGGATAAAGGAGCGCTCAGTGAAGTGTGCAGTGAGGGGTGCACGATGGAGCATATGTGGATAAAGGAGCACTCAGTGAAGTGTGCAGCAAAGTGTGTGTCCCAGCACAGCTCAGTCTCCCGTGGACAGGTGGAGGCACTGACCCAAGTCCTGGACACACAGTGGCAGGCCCTGGCTCCTGGAGTGCCCAGCTGGCAGGGGAGGGGTGACCTGATTCCGCTCTCTGCCCAGCCGAGCCGCCCCCCACCCCTTGCCCAGCACGGCCTGTCAGGACCGAGCCCAGGCGGATGAGCCGGGCTGGGAAGGCTGCCCCGAGGGATCTCGCGGGGTAAGGAGGGGCTCCTTTGTAGGCCCCTGCCCGAAGGCACGCCCGACGTCCCTGCTCTGTGTTAGTGTCAGTCAGCTTGTGGGCTCGTCGACTGGACCGCATTTCTGGGAGAAGAGAACTGCGTTAGGGCCCAGGACGACCCACGGGGCAGCCCTCCCCCAACTCCTGGCCTGGGACGGCCACCAGTCAGCACCTCTACCGCACGCCTCTCTGAACACCGTGTCCTCTCACGGGATAGGGGTAAACAAGGGCTGCCATGGGGACCGGGCCGACAGCCAGCCCTTTCATTCATTCGCTCGCACATCGATGGGTCATTCCTCCATTCAGGAATTGTCCTGCATGCCAGGAGTCCATCAGACACCCTGGGCCCTGCCCCCAGCCCCTGCAAACGTCCAGGTCACAAATACTCTTGCTTTGGCTACTTATGGCTTTAAAGCTTTAGATTTCATTTGAAAATTCAGATTTCTGTTTTTACTTGGAAAAACGGGGAAGTCAGCAGTTTCTAGGCCTGCCTTCCCACAGAGTGGCAAAGCCAGGAGCTGAGCCATGAGCCCCCTCCCGACCAGTCCAAGTACTGCAATCCCCTGGCCTTCTGCCGGCCTGTCTCTCAGGCCCTGGTCTGTGCTGGGCTTGAGAGTGTCTACAACTCACCTCCTGGAGACTGGGAGGGGCCAGCCAGTAGATTAACTCCCCGGGCTCAGAATCAGAGTGTAAGTGTGTGCTGTAAGTGCGAGGGTGACAGAGTACGTGGGCGTTTGGGGAGGAAGGCAGACTAAAATTGAATTGTGAGTCTTGGGCAGCCAGCCTCATTGCTTCTGAGCCTCTGGGTGGATGAGGACCCAGCCTGGAATCCTGCTTTCCAGGACGCCAGCACTGAGCATGGCCTGTCCTTGCTTTTCCAGCTCGCAGTGGGCTTCTCTCCCCGAACCCCATGGGTGGCCCAGTGCTCTGTCTGCTCTTCCCAAAGACATTGGGCAGGTGTAGAGAGCCTGAAGTCAGGGCAGGCGTTCCAGTGGGTTCTGGTGCTCCCCAGCCGAGGAGCAGGCCTAGAGTAGCATGATGTGTCAGGACTTAGGCCAGCTCGTCCCAGCTGTGCAGATGTAGAGACGAGACTCACCAGAATTCCTCCAGGGACAACACTGCATCTGCTCGGAAGACATAACCCCCTAGGGTGAGGCATTGTCCAGCTCTCCCAAAGGCCAGCCTCTCAATGCAAGCACAGTGTGTGTATGGGTGTCACGATGGATTCTGGTGTGAGACCGTGAAGGTAGAGACCGGATGGGAACTGAATGGCTTGAGGGGTTGAGAGGACAGGTACATGGGCTGGCCCTGTCTGGAGGGAGGAGAGAAATCTAAAGGCACCACGGGAGTTAGGAACAAGGAAATGCTTATGGGGCCTGGAATGGAAGCTGGGCATTTCCACATAAACCTGCTCCCCACCCCACCCCCAAAGTCCCTGCTCACGCTGACGTACATGTAGATGCTTCATTGGATGGCTATCCCGCGTAGCACGTGGGAGACTGCAGGGCTGCTCCTTCTGAAGCTTGGTTGGCATGCAGCAAACCGTGAGCTGCTGTGAGCCAGCCCTTGGTGTGCTCAGCTGATCCATGACCCGGTGTTGCTTAGGCATACCCTGGAGGAAATCTTGCCCCCAGTGGCTCGGTTACTCTGGGTGACATCCAGGCCTCTCTGCATTTCCTCATCTGGACAATTGGGCGTATATTAGCTTCTTATCACCGCTGAGCAAGTCACCACACATGACAGACCCACCCTCCCACAGTCTGGAGAGGTCCGCAGTGGGTCTCTGCTGGAATCGAGCTGTCGGCTTCATTCCTCCCTGAGGGCTCCATCTTCTGGCCTTTGTCAGCTTCTGGAGGACACTTGCACATTTTTGTCTATGAGCCCATCCTCTTCAAAGCAGCAGAGGCCAAGGTAGTGTTTCTCATACTGTCACTCTGACTAGCTGCCCTGCCTTCCTCTTTCATTTATTCGTTAAAAAATTTTTTAGGGTTTTTGCCATCAGGCATGTGTGCTCACTGAAGAGAGACAGAAAGTGAGATATCACACACACACCCCCCCCAGGGAGGGGATGACCTTTACAATTCCTTCTCCATTCTCCTCCTAGGGTTTTGGGCAAGTGCATGAACCCGGAGTCAGTTTCAGGCCACCAAGTCTGGGACTTGAACGAGATTCGCCCATGTGAGAGCCTAGCACCATAGCTGCTATGCCACCTGCTGGCCCCCACCTTCTTCTTTCATATGTAAGGACCCGGTGGACGTGCTAGGGCTGCCCACATGACCTATATAATCTCCCTACCCTGGGTCGGCTGATTACAGCTTCATGACCCCTACAGGCTCTGTCCCCCTTCGCCGTCCCCAAAGTTTATGTGCTGAGAGCTTGGTCCTAGTAGAATGGCGTTAGATGTGGTGGGACCTTCAGGAGGTGGGGCCGTTTGGATCATGGGGGCAGTGCCCTCGTGAATGGATTGATGCCGTTTTGCAGGAGGAAGCGCGTCTTCACGCTCTCACAGGAAGGGCTTCGTTGCTGAGAGAGCGGATTATTATAAAGGCAGGGGGATGCTGCAGGTCGTTTGCCCTCCTACCGCCTCTTTCCTCACTGCTCTGGGAATCGAGTTGTGATGGAGCGCCCAGAGAGGCTACGTGCTGGTCCCTGTCCCCAGAAGTGAGAGCCGGATACACCCCTTTTTCTTTAGGAACCGTCCAGCCTCAGGTGTTTTGGGTTAGCAACACAGTAATGGGCTAGAACAATAACATATTCACGGGTTTGGGGGAAGGACGTGGACATCGCTGGGGACACTACTCTGTCACCACAGGGAGAAGAGAATCGGCCGCCGGCTGTTTCTCATGCTCAGGAGATGGCAGTGATCGCAGTCACTGGTGACGGGGGCTCACCGGCGAGGCCATGTGGAGAGACAGCTGCTCCATCCACCCACCCAGCTGGGCATCACTCTGCCGTCTGCAGGTGACCATGCGGAGGACACGCCTTGGCACAGGTAAGCTGGCGTGGGGGAAGGGGTGAGGAGTCCCTGCATTGACTGAGATTTCGAGTAAGTTAAACTAGGAAATGGAATGGCCAGCAGGTGGCGTGGAGGTTAAGTTGACTGGATCCCACACAGCTAACTGCCTGGTTCAAGTCCCAAACCTGGCGGCTTGGAAAACACACCGGGCACGTTGCATGTGTGCCCAAAATCCCCAGAGGAGAATGGTGAAGAGATTGTGATGTGGCCATCCCCCGGGGGGTGATTTCTCACTTTCCCTCTCTCTTCCTCTCTGTCTCCTTCTGGCAAGCATACACATTGCAGAGAAAAGTAAAAGGAGATGAATAGACGTTAATTTGAGCAATTGTATTTAAAATTACACGTGCACATGTGTGATCCAAAACTCAACCTTAATATGCACAAGCGTTAGTTTTTAGAGAAAATCTCTAACTTAAATTTGATCATCTTCAAGCCTATTTTATCTCGCCTTTTTCCCTTTTTATGAGAGAGTGGGAGAAGGAGGCGTATTGTTGGCAGGGTCTTCCCTGTCAGTGACCTCCTGCTTCAGCCTCCCGAATAGCCGGGGTTGCAGGTGTGCGTGGCCATGCCGAGCTGGGTCGCAGGTGTGCGCGGCCGTGCTGAGCCGGGTCGCAGGTGTGCGCAGCCGTGCTGAGCTGGGGTCGCAGGTGTGCGCGGCCGTGCTGAGCCGGGCCGCAGGCGGCAGTGCCGAGCCGGGTCGCAGGTGTGCGCGGCCGTGCTGAGCCGGGGTCGCAGGTGTGCGTGGTCGTGCTGAGCTGGGGTTGCAGGCGTGTGCGGCATGTAGCCTCCAGCCTCCCAAGCTGTGCGCTGTGCCCCCATCTTGCTGTCTCTGTGAGCTTGGCTCCTGAGGTAGGCCTGAGCAGGCTCTGTGGGATTTGGGACTGTGGAGCCTGGGGAGCCAGGGCCTGCCCTCCCCGGAGGGACTGTGGTTTGCTGCAGGAGCCCGTGCTCGGTGGCTTCTTGCTCGGAGATGTGGCCCGACGGGCTATGTAAAAGCAGGGGAGACAGGGAGGAAGAGGTGCCCTGGGCCCTGGGAGGGTCCAGGACCCCAGCTGCCAGCTCCCCGCCAGGGATGTTACCCAAGAGGCAGCAGAGGGTTCTGATGTGCCGAGGTGCGCCTGACTGGCCCCTGCGATGACGTAACCCCCATTGTGCAACGGGACTAAGGGTCAGCAGGGAGGGGTGCCGGGTGCTTTGCATCACCCGCACACTGAACCGGGTCGGGGTCAATTACGCACTCCGGAGGCCGGGACGCAGGGAGCCAGGCAGGAAGCTGGTGTGCCCAGGCAGCGCGGAGCGAGGGTCTGGGGAAGCGGAGGGGACGTGGCACACCATCTGCCCTTCTGGCTGTGCCCCGCGGCAGGGGCCGGATTGAAACCTGGCACCTGTTGCATAGTGGGTCTGCGTCCAGGCCCTCTGCCCCGTGCCGCTCTGACGCGAGTGTGTAAAAATAAGCTCTTGCAGCAGCTCTCGAAATCCACACTGAGCTGAGCAAACAGCCACCCGATCCGGCCGCCGAGAACAGCCGCTGGCACTGCCAGGCCTGCCACTCAGGTGGGACTCGCGTGGGCGTTTTCCGTGGGGCTCGACCAGCCCCGCGTTCTCTGTCCTGAGCTCGGAACCTGACCGTGGGGCTGCGTCCTGTCCGCTGTCCCCACAGGAGGGTTCCAGCAGACAAGCTTCCGGGCGGTCAAAGGCGCCATGCTGCCCCCCTCTGGTCAGGACTTGGGGCCGAACTCAGGTCCTGAGCGTGGGTCTTCGGTCCCCTGGCTGCTCATGGACCGGCACCTGGAGACCGGGTGGCAGGACGCACCCCGGCCCAGGGCGCTCCGGGAGTGGGCCCTCTCCCCTGGCTCAGAGAGGAGCTGCCGCCCGTCGGTGGATGGAAGTCAGGAAGTGGGGGAAACAGTTCCTGGCCTCTGAGCAAGGTGGAGGGAAGCAGCTGGCCTCGGGCAAGCCTGAGGTGGCCAAGCAGAGGTGCAGGGTCTGGCCTGTCTCCCTGTCTCCCCCTCAGGAGAGTTCAGAGATCCGGGTGCTGGTCCTGCCTTTACCACAAGCTGTGGGGCCTCAGCCAGGGAGCCCCCTTCCCAGAGCCTCAGTTTCTCCACTCGCTTTGCTCTTTTCCAAGATTGCTCTGGCTTTCTGGGCCCCTGAAATTACATGAGTTTGAGAATTGGCTTTTCATTTCTGTGAAAAAAAATTATTGGAATTTTTATAAGGATTGCATTAAATCTGTAGATTGTGGGGCCAGTAGGAGGCATAGTGGTTAAGGTGCTGGATTCCCACATGGCTGACCATGGTTCGAGTCTTGGACCTGAAACTTTGAAAATCATGCCAGACACGTGTGCGTGCGTGCCCAGAATCTTCAGAGGAGAATGGAGGAGAAGGGATTGTGGTGCGGCCATCCCCCCGGGGGTGATTTCTCGCTTTTCCTCTCTCTGTCTCTCTCCAACAAGCACTTGCACCTACCTATGGAGAAAAAGTAAAAGAGAAGAATCTGTAGATTGGATTAGGTAGCATTAACATCATAATAATATTAAGTCTTGGGACTAGCAGATGGTGTAATGGTTATGTCGTTGGACTCCCACATAGTTGACTGTGGTTTGAGTCCCAGATCCGATGGTTAAAACTCACGCCAGGAGTGTGTGCATGCGTGTCCAAAATCCCAAGAGGAGAAGGGATTGCAGCATGGCCATCCCCCCTGGGGGTGACGTCTCACTTTCTGTCTGTCATTTTCTGTCTCTCTGGCAAGTGCATGTGCCCTATGCCAAAAATCTCTCTCTCAAAAAAAAAAAAAAAAACACATTAAGTCTCTCAATCCATGGACATGGGGTGGACTTCTGTTTATTCGGATCTTTATTTTCTTTAGGCAGTATTCACACTTGTCATTGCACGAGACTTTTTCCTCCTTGGTTAAATCTATCTCTAGATATTTTATTCTTTTGGATGCTATTCTAAGTGGAATTATTTTAATTTCTTTTCTAGATTGCTCATTGATGTGCAGAAACACAACTTAATTGTAGGTGTTGCCCGTTCCTATCTCGCGGTTTTGCTGTTTATTAGTCCAGTAGTGTGTGCATGTGTGCGTGTGTGTGTGCACGCGTGTGTGATGTTCTCTGTGTGAATGCACTCACTGCTCCCTCTCCTCCACCCCGCCCACCACAGCACTGCGGCGCTTACTCTCCCACCACTACCCTCCCTCCCCAAACTCCTGGGTTTTGCTGAGAAAGAGGAGGAGAGGCATACCCTCCGCAAGATCTCATCACGTGACCCCCTTTCCCCAGCCCTCCAGCTCGTCAGAATCCTGGGCATCCACACCTGCACCTGGCACGTTGGCAACTTGACCCAGGGATCCAAACCTGCGGGCAGCCGGTGGCTCTCAGCAGTGCTGTCCAGTGCCCTAGCAACCGTGCCGCGGGGCAGGGCAGGGCTAGCCGGTCTGTTACTGACGAGGGAGAACTCTGACCCTCAGCTGTTGGCCCTCTGCCTTAGCTTCTCGGGCTGCCATGACAGAGCACCACAGGCCGGAGGTGGAGAGACAGGCACCCAGCATCTCGCCGTTCTGGAGGCTGGAAGTCCAGGACCAACGTGTCGGCGGGCCATGCCCCTCCGGGACGGCGGGCCCCTTCCTAGCCTCTCGCCTGGCTTCTGGCCACTGCTGGCACCCTCCAGAGCTCCTTGGCTTACAGCAGCATCACTCCGACTGTCTGCAGCACCTGGCCTGCGTGGCTCTGCCAGTGCGTCTCTGGCCCAAGCTGCCCTTTGATAAGGATCGGGGCGCATGGCGGTGCCATGTCGGAACCTCATCCTCCCAGGACTGTTTTCCATTCTGGGGCCCTGGGGTGGGACTGCACAGCTCCTTGCTGACGAGCTGAGACTCAGTCATGGCACGCTCTCGTGGGCACTCCCACTGCCGTACTCTCGCCGGTGACTTCGTTTAATATACATGGTGCTTTAAGCATAATATTGTTTATATTTTCACATGGAATACTAGTCATGTTTTCTTTCTTTTAATCTTGAAAATGAAAATACTTTGTACTTCAAGGTTTTAGTTTTTAAGTTCTATTTATTTATTTATTCCTTGAGAGAGACAGGCAGGCAGGCATCCCCACGAGTCCTCGTGCTGTGACCCACCCCCAAGTTCGGCTAGCCTAGGTCATGGCACACGCGTGTCCAGCATGTCCGGGGAACTGGACAAGAACCCAGGGCCTTCCCGTGTGGGCCCAGCACTGCAGGGGGCTGTACTGCTGAGCCACGCTGGCCTCCTATACCAAGGCTTTAGAATGGCTATTCTGTATTTTATGGAAATAACTTCATTGGGGTTTTCATGCTGGACTATTTAGTCCACCTGGGAATTAATTTGCGTATGGCACAGAAGAGTCTCTTGAATGAACACGCGTGTCCTAAGGAGAAACGTTGGTTCGTGTCTTTTACCTGCCTCCTGATCAGCACAGAACACGCCCCCGTGAGACCCTCAAGTTCACTATTACGCAGAGTGGCGCTGCGTCCTGTGCCATTTTCCACTTTCCTTTCAGACTTAGCAGGGCGGGAAAGCAGCCACCAGCCTGCTCCGAACGCCGCTTCCTTAGCGACCAGAGCCTCCGGCACGGACGGTCAGAAAGGTGGCAGGAAATCGCTGCTCGCTCCGTATCACACAGCGGGAACACACACACATGCTCACGTGTATGTCCTACGCATGCACACACCATAGTGAAAGTGTAACGGACCCAGAAGGCCTGCTGTGCACTCGTGCTTGTGGAAACAGATAATACGAAAGTCTTCGAAAATACACAGCTTCATGGAAAATGCGTATTAAAAAAATGCGTGCATTTCAACTTTTTTTTTGCACCAGAATACTTTGATTCTGTTTTTCCACGAACATTTTGAAGTCCTTTTGTACGGCGACAATCCCGCCTCTACCCTTAGCAGTGTTTTACCTCATTTCTTCGCCTCATGCTCTGTCCAGGCTCTTGTGAGCGACTTTGACAGGAAGCCATAGGTTGTCTTTTATTTGTTTGCTTAGTTTAATCTGCCAGTAGGTGCCTGAGCTCTCTGGAGACACACAGAGAGAAGGAGGCAGCACCCCGTGGGCATGGTCACGCAGTCTCTTCTGCTCCATTTCTCCCGCCTCTCAGAATTGCAAGCGAGCACAGGAGGCCGGCATGATTTTCAGGCTGCTGGGTCTGGGACTTGAACCACACAGTTGGTCACGAGGGATCCAGCCTCCTCCACACCATGCCACTGGCTGGCCCCTAAAATAGAGGTTTTTGATACATTATCTGCAACTCCGAATGCCAAAAGCTCTGGAAGCGGGAAGTTCTTAAACAGTTTGTGGCCAACTCTCTGGGCAGCAGAACCTGGCTTGAAGTGACCTGGGCCGTCCGGACTCTACATCCATGATGGGGTTGGTGCGCTGGGCGGCCCGCGCTCACATGCTTGGCCGCGTGCAGGGAGCGCCTTCAGTGGACGCGGTCCTTGCGCGATCACTGCAGGGCATGGGGAAGCCCTAGGCGTGGCCTACCCCTGGGCTTTACAGAGAACCCTGACCGCTAGCCAGAGAGGGCCAGGAGCGGCCTTCGACCACGGGTCTCCACAGCTGAAGCGCGAGGCCTTGCCTCCGTGCAGAGGAGCGAGTGCAGGACAGCGTGGGGCCGCGGCCTTCTCCAGCAGAGGGCTGGGTCCCCCCGACCTCCACTCGCATTTGCCCGTTCTCAGTCCACGGCCCTTTGCCTCGGGGTCCCCTAGCTCTTCGTCCTTGGGCTGCCCAGTCCTCACGGCGCTGTGACCCAGCATGTAACGATACACTCTTGCCCGTGAAAAATCTGGGAGCCCTCGATAGCGAGCGTCCATCGATCCCAAGGCTCGTGAAGGTGCAGCTGTGTAATCAGTGAACTCCGGAGCCCTGGCTGGCGGCAGGTCCTTTGTGACTGAGCGGGGGTCTCTACGCCACCGTCTTCACTGATCGCTATGTTCTGTGCTTCGTCGTAGTCACTGCCATTTCCCACGGAACTTGGAAGCCGTATTCAGGCTGAACCATGTTGCTTTCGGGTCCGGAATGGAAGGAGCTTCGTTCTCAGTCTCATTCTTATAAGAAGGAAAAGCTCGACCGGCAGAAAATCAGCCCCTCTTCCTGGGCCCGGCAGAATACGCATGCAGTGAAGTGCCGCTTCCTGAGGGGAGACAGCAGGTCCACACATGGCTGGGCCGAGCGGATGCTCCCGGGGGCCGCCAGGGCTGGGGTCACCATGACATGCTGGAGGCTCAGTGAGAAGCTCGGGAGCTAGAACTTCCCGCCCCGCCATGGGGGCACCATGGTGGCACTGTGGTGGCACACCAGGTGGTGGCCCTGGAGCCACGTGAAAGATCCCACATACAGGGCCAGCAGGTGGCGTGGTGGTTAAGGTGCTGGACTCTCACACAGCCGACCTCGGTTCAGGTCCCAGACCTGTAGCTGGCTTTCTCTCTCTCTCTGGTCAAATTAAATAATAAATGAAACTAAATAAAATAATTCTAAGAAATTAAAGAGCCCACACGTATGTGCCTGTGGCCTGGGC